CCTGTGTGGCCCTGCATGGTGTGTCATGGTTCCTGCTTCTAGGGAACTGTGAGTGTAAACTTCTTCCTTCACGACAGTCATTTCTGTGTCTGCATGTGCTCCCATACATACTTGCTTAAAACAAATCCTGGGTACATTTTAAAACACATTTTACACAGGACAATTCTATTAACTCTGCTCCCACTTTCCCCTCGGGATGGTAGCAGTGGAGGCAGGTTGGGGTGCGTAGGAGGATGGAAGGTGACACAATGCAAGTGTTTGTGCCAGGAGCTCATGAGCCTGGACTTCCCATTATGGTTTCGTCTCTGTAAACCTCAAGTTCTAGCCTAGACAACCAAAAAATTATATTAGATGATTCTAAACTCTCAGCATCTTTGGATCTTGAGGGCTTCTAAAATATGTTAAAGGAGCAATATATGCATGCTTATGCCATTGTATGAAGTTGGAAGAAAAAAAGAAGATACAAAATTATCCTACAATAGAATATGGCAGAAGACTGGAAGAAGAAAAGGATGGAATTATGCTTCAATTTTTTTAAAGTCTCAAAATTCACATCAAAGCAGAGCTGGTAATCATCTCTTCATTTCTGCATCCTTTTATAAATGCCTCTGTATTCCTTTCTAGAGGTTGGAAATCCAGAATGGGTGTAATTGGGCTAAAATCAAGGTGCCAGCAAGCTGTTTTTCTTCTAGATGCTCTAGAGAAGAATCTGCTTCTCACCTTTTCCACCTTCTAGAAGTTGCCTGTGTTCCTTGGTTCAGGATTCCCCTTCCAACCTTCAAGTCAGCAAAGGCCAGGTGAGTCTTTCTCACTTCCCGACACTGTATCCTTGCTTCTGTCCCACATCTCCTTCTCTGGCCCTGACTCTCTTCCCTACTTCTTTGACTTGTAAGAACTCTGTGACTGCACTGGACCCAGGGCCCTTGCCATCTCAAGGTCAGCTGATTAGCAACTTTAAAACCATCTGCAACCTTAATTCCCTTTTGTTATCCATGTAGCATGTTCATAAGCTCCAGGAATTTGGAGTGGGACATCTGGGGAGGGGGCATTACTTTTCTCTGAAATTCTATTGCATCAGAAGAGGCCTGCCGCGCCTCCTTTGTGCCTTCCTGATTGCCCTTGCTCATCGTCACCCAGTTTAAACTGCAGACATGCTGAGGGAGGGCAGAGCTTACACTGTGATTTGCCTTGGAAACTGGTGGTCCCTTATGGATAATGTTGCCAGCCTATGAGATGCTTCACAGTGCCTACAGCCGGACTTCCAGCCAGCAAACATTTATTGAGCACCTTCTGTGTGTCAAGATCTAAGCCAGGTATCAGGGACAGTATAAATAGGAGGATGACATAGTCTCTGCACAGGGAGCTCATAGTCTAATAAAGGAGAGTACCCATCCACATAAACATCCCAGATACAAAGCATGAAAGGAAGGCCATGTGAAGCAAAGTGAGGAGAAGTGCTGTGAGCAGTGTCCCCATTCCGAAGGGACATCTGAGACCTGAGGTGGTGATGCTGGAAGAGGTGAGCCCAAGCTCAGCTTCTGCTCTACACTTCTAATTTTTTTTTAAATTATAAATTAGCACAGGGAAATGATCACTGTTCCACTCCCCTTTCCTCCCCCCTCTTAATCTGCTGTCTCCACCTTATTGATGACAGGTATGTGAAAATGCTCAAATGTAGAATATGATCTAGATAACTTGTAGCTATTTTTTTACACAATGGGCTTATTCTATGACATTATTTTGCAAGTTGAATCAGTCTCTGACCAAATTGAGGATATTTTTCCAAGTAGTACAATGCACATTTGTATATTTCTAGGCTAAGTCTCTAAGCATGGAACTGCTGTGTCAAAAGATACGCCCAGTTTAAATTTTGACAGATTTTGACAAGTTGTCATCCAAATATATGAAGCTGATTTCCTCTCCCTCCAATTTGGTATGGAAACCGAACCACTGTTCCTTCACACTCCCCACCAAGGCTGGACATTACCCATGTTCTTAACTTCTGCCAATCCGATAAGTGGAAAAGGGGTATCTCAATGTGGCTTTAATTTGCATTTCTCTAATGATGAGTGTGGGTAAACCTTTTTTTTTTATACATGCCTGTTTATGTTTTAAATCTTTGAGCCATCTGGGGTTTATTTTGTTATAAGAATAGAACTTTATTTTTTCCAAATGGCAGTACTAGTTATTAAATAATTCACATTTCCTCCACTGATTTGAAATGTTATCCGGATCTTGATTTTAAAAATGAAAGGAGGCCACGTCTACCTCCACTTCATACTATATGCAAAAAAAATTTCAGAATAGATCCTGCATTTAAAAGTGACATATAGAACTTTTAGAAGATAACACAGGAGAGCATCTTTAGTAGTAGGGATAGGCAAAGAGTTCTCAGGAATGACACCAAGAGCAAAATATGTAAAAAAAAATTAGTAAATTGGACCCTATGAAAAACAAAAACTTTTGTGCTGTGAAATATTCTGTTTAAAAGATGAAAAGACAAGCTACAAGTCAAGAGAAAAATCTTTGCAAACCACAGATTCAGCAAAGGCCCATAGAGAGAATATACAAAGAATTATTAAAACTCCAAAGAACTGAACAGATATTTCACCAAAGAGAAGATACTCCAAAGAACTGACCTTATATGTCACCAAAGGGGACATATGGATGGCCCAGAAGCACATGGAGAGATGTTTGATACTATTAGCCTCTTGGGAAATGCAAATTGAAAATTCAAAACCACAGTGAGATATTACTACACACCTCCTAGAATGGCTAAAATAGAAGGCAATGATAATGCCAAATGCTGTCGAGGATATGGAGAAACTGGAACTCTCAAATATTGCTGGTGGAAACCTAAAGTAGTACAACCATTCTGGAAGATAGGTTAGCAGTTTCTTATAAAACTAAACATGCAATTACCATGTGTCCCAGTGATTGTACTCCTAGATATCTATCATGAAAACTCATTTTCACACAAAAACCTATATTTGGATGTTCATAGCACTTTCGTTCATAATAACAAGAAAACTGGAGACAGATCCAACTGTCCTTCAGTGGGTGGATGGTTGAACAAACTCTGGTAGATCCCTACAGTGGAATACTACTCAGCAATAAAAGAGTATTAATGTTTTTAGAAAAGATTTCATTTATTCATTCATAAGAGACAGAGAGAGAGGCAGAGACATAGGCAGAGGGAGAAGCAGACTCCCTACACGGAGCCCAATGCAGGACTCGATCCCAGACCCCGGGATCACGCCCTGAGCTGAAGGTAGACACTAAACCACTGAGCCACTCAGTCGTCCCAAGAGTATTAACTATTAATATATGCAACAATCTAAGTGGAAAAAGCCAATCCCAATGATAAAAAAGCCAATTCCGAAAGGTTAATACCATATGATGTTTGATTCCACTTATGTAACATTCTTTGAATGGTAAACCTACAGAGATGAAGAACGGACTAGTGGTTGCCAGGGGTCAGATATGGAGAGAAGGGGCTTGGATACATAAATACAAAGAGAGAGCACAGGAAGTTCTTTTGCTGTGACAGAACAATTTTGTGTCTTGATTGTGGCATTACAAGAATCTATACATGTGATAAAAACAGCATAGAGCTACACACACACACACATAAATGAATGCAGGTTTTTTAAAATGATGAAAATAAAGTCTGTAGCATAGTTAACTATACTACAGTAATGTATTGATGTCAGGTTCTTGGTTTTCATATTGTACTGCAGTTAGGTAATATGTCATCATTGGGGGGTACTAATTTTGCAAAACCCTTGTGAATCTAGAAAAAAAAATTTGACATAAAAAATGAGAGAAGAAAATCACTTTTGTCAAAGGCCTTCCCATTGTACAGGGCGGTTCTTTTTGGCGGTTGTTTTAGCCATAATAACAAACACCCTCTCTCTCTTCCCCAGACACACAACATGACACCCTTTTGAAGTTTCCAGTGGAATGCAAGTCGCCTTAGACCAGGTACAGAAAAGCTGCATATATAAAAATAGTTCAAAAGAACACCAGCATACCAGATTCACCAACTGTTAATATTTAACCTGTTCATTTTATCATATGGGATCTATCTCTCAATCTGTATCATTGTTTTGGAATCATGTGAGGGGTAAGGTTCATCCATCGTGAGCCTCTGCCCCTAAGTACTTGAATGTGTATTTCCTAAGAACATTGTCTTATATGATCACAGTACTGAGTACTGTTAACTTTAGTAAATTTAACACTGATTCAAAACTTTAATCCATCCTTCTTATTCCACTTTTATCAGTGGCTTCCATGACCTCCAGCACAGAATCTAGCCTGGGATTAGGAGCAGCACTTGGTTGTCCTGTGTCCTTAAACGCCTTAGTAGGGGCCACCTGGGTGGCTTTAGTGGTTGAGCGTCTGCCTTTGGCTCAGGTCCTGATCCCGGGGTCCCGGGATCGAGTCCCGCATCGGGTTCCCTGCAGGGAGCCTGCTTCTCCCTCTGCCTGTGTCTCTGCCTCTGTGTGTGTGTGTGTGTGTGTCTCTCATGAATATACATAAATACAATCTTTTTTTTTTTTTTAAGAGAGCAAGCAAGCCAGCCAGCCTTAGTAGACCGAGGTGTGCTATCAGATTTTCTTTGTCACGGGCCCCCAGAATTCGCATCTGTAAACTGGAATCGGGAGTGACTTCCCCAGCCTTTGTCAGCAAAGGCGCTTGAACGATCTAAATGGAACATCTCTCTCCTGCATCATCCTTCCCCCGAGGGTCTAAACTTCCGTTGCGGGTCGGAGCAGGAATTTGGGGAGGAATCGTCTGGGGAAGAGGTGAGGGAGACCGCGGGGGGTACTCGCGCTCCCGCCCCCCTCACCTGGAGCGCCCGGCGGCCAATCAGCGGCGCGCTCCGGGCCCGGCGGCCAATCGGGAGGCGGCGCGGCGCGCTCCCCCGGGGCTATAAGTGCGCGCGGGCGGCGGAAAGTGAAAGTGGTGCGGCCGCCGCGGACGCCGCAGACGCCGGGATGCTCAGGGCTCCGGAGCCGCGGCCCAGGGCGGCGGGGGCGGCCCCCCAGCCCAAGCCGCTCACCTCCTTCCTCATCCAGGACATCCTGCGCGACGGCGCGGAGCGGCGCGGAGACCACGCGAGCAGCCCGCAGCCCCCGCGCCCGCCGGACCCGCGGCGAGAGGCGCAGCCGGAGCCCGGGCGGGGGGCAGGCGGCGCCGGCGCCGGCGCGCCCGGGCACGAGTGGAGCGCCCGGCCCCGCGCCCCGCGGGAGGCCGACGCGCCCGCGGAGGGCGAGCCAGGTGAGCCGGCGGGGCTGGGGCGGCCCGGGGCGCCCGCGGGGCGGGGGCGGGGGCGGCCGGACGCAGGCCTCGCGGAGCTCCGGCTGCAGGGATGCGGGCCCCGCGGCCGCCGGCCGGCACCTCCCCGCCTCCCGCCATCAGCGCGGCGCGGGACTTGTACCCTCTGCTCCGTCCCCAGCCCCCGCGAACCAGCTGGAGACGCCGCCGCCCGCGCCCGGCCGCCGTGCGACCCTCGACGCGCGCCCGCCCTGCGCTCCCTCTCGGCAGCTACAAGTGCACCCTACAAGTAACCGATGGGGCTTTGGCCAGCCGAGACCCCCTTTGCCTCCCAATTCCACCGGCGGTGAAGAGCTAAATTTGCAAGGTCCCTCCGGCCTTTGGGAAATAGGACACCGTTAGAACACTTATTTTTTGTTTGTTTGTTTTTTAAAGAATGTATTTATGTATTCATGAGAGATCTAGAAAGGGAGAGAGAGAGAGAGAGGCAGAGACATAGGCAGAGAGGGAAGCAGGCTCCACGCAGGGAGCCTGATGCGGGGACTCGATCCCAGGACCCCGGGATCACGACCTCAGCCGAAGGCAGATGCTCAACCGCTGAGCCACCCAGGCGCCCCGTTAGAACATTTTAGAGTAGGCTTATTTCCTTGCCTGTCACTTTGGATGAGGCATCATAGCGGCCTGTTTAGAAAAAGGGGGACCAAAGCCAGAAAATGAACTTGCCCATAGCCCCCATCACCCGTCCTATAGCGCAGACTCCTAAAGCACAAACCCTCTGCCGCGGAAAGTCAGCACTGATGATGCCTTTGTGTCTTGCATTCCCAGCTGTCTGATTCGCGTCTTCCCTGCCTTGCTTGCTTCTTCCATCGCTTCGCAATCAATGCACACATCCAGGACCCTGTTCAGTTCTCCTGGACGGCATGGCAGGAAGCTCTATCTACCACTAGCCGCTTCTGACTTTGGGTTCTTGATGACTGTTAGAAAATAATACATAATATACATATTCACTCACTCCCCACTCAGGAGAGTTCCTTAGTCATGTGAAAAAAGTGAAATGTATCCAAGATGACAGTGGGCTGTTTGTTCACTCACCAAAGAGATAAGGGTGGATTGAATTCTGTTCTCTTCCCTCTAACATGTAACCTTTTCCTTCCCATCCCTCCTTCTCCCTTCTCCTTTCCAGATAGACACTTTGAGACTTATCTGTTGGACTGTGAAAACAGTGCAGGCTCCTTACCAAGCCTTCCGCAAACCTCGAAGCAGCCACAGAAGCGCTCCCGTGCTGCCTTCTCGCACACTCAGGTCATTGAATTAGAGAGGAAGTTCAGCCACCAGAAGTACCTGTCAGCCCCTGAAAGGGCTCACCTGGCCAAGAACCTCAAGCTTACGGAGACCCAAGTGAAAATATGGTTCCAGAACAGACGCTATAAGACCAAGCGAAAGCAGCTCACCTCGGACCTGGGAGACCTGGAGAAGCACTCCTCCCTGCCTGCTCTGAAAGAGGAGGGCTTACCCCAGGCCTCCCTCATCTCCATGCATAACAGCTACCCTTACTACCCCTACCTGTACTGCTTGGGAGGCTGGAACCCAGCTTTCTGGTAATGCTGGCTCAGATGACAATCATGAGTGATCAAACACAGCCTTCCCCAGGTTGCGTCTCTCGAAGGCAAAAGGGGCCAAGCTCAGGGAGGACTGAAGAGGTCTACAAGAGGTGTGTGTCCTGAGGTGGTTGGAGGTTTGCATGGGCATCCCAGAGCCCTCAGTGATGGGCCAGTGAAAGATGGGGGACCGCGAATAATATCCAAATGGTTCTCCCAACACACAAATGTGGGATGTTTTTTGCTCTTAGGGACCTCCTTGAAATCAAGTGCTGTTTCTAGCACTTCTTATGATTTTATATGAGCTGTCTGCTTCTGATTGGGGTTTCAACCCCATCTTCTTGTATAACCGAGCATCAGCCCTGAAAGTGCAAACCTGAAGGGAAAAAGGACATCCGAGACAAGGGTGTCACCTCCTGAATTACACTTAAGTTCAAAAACCTCTTGTTGGCCTTGGATTACGATCAAGGTTCCTCTCTGTCCCTGTAAGAGAGAGGGAGACACCTGCCATGCTCAGCACAGACTGGCATGGGATACGGAGATGGGGAGGAGGAGATGAAAATATAAGCTTCTTCTTATTCCTTTTTAAATAACACGCCAACCTAAGTATTTACAGGGTGGCCCGAGTAGAACAAGAAGCATTCACTCTGGTTTTAGGACAAGCTGTATAAACAGAAATGTACTGCAAGGGGTGGGCCAGAAGACTCTCCACATGTCTGAAACAACGGCCTGAAGAGAAGTCTCTGCACTGCGGCTTGTTGGCTTGTTTTGTGTGTGTGTGTGGGGTGGGAGGGTAATTACATTTTTTTGTTAATAAAGGTAAAAACACCTCCTCTGGACCTTTTTTGCCCTAGACCTGAGAATTGGAGTGAGTAGTTTCCTGGAGTTTTCAGGCTGTAATTCATATTACACCATGACAGGTCACATACTTCTTTCCTGTAAGCTCCTGCCTTTCCCTCCTTTTATTTTTTGTTCATTTTCCGCAACAGTCACCCACTGATGGGCTTCTTTTCAGTCCAGACATTTAGGCTGGCTGCACACCTCACATACACCTTCCTTATTTAGCCTGCGATCTGGTCTCCCCCCCCCCAAAGCTTTATCTCTCTTGGGGTTAAAAAGGGAAAAAAAGTAGGGTGGGGGGAGGATTCCAAATTGGCTAAAAGACACATTTTTTTTTAAAAAAACTAGCAATTCTTATTTTTTCTTTAAAACCATACATTAAATCCCAAATCCTATTTAAAGACTTGAGAGCTCTAAAAGGTCACCGCTGCTTTTATAAGACTTTCTGGTGGCTCTGTTGTTCTGGTTCAAAGTCTGACAACCCTCTGGGATCCCCGCAGGCAGGGGAGTTAAGAGGTACCGGGCTTTCACACACGGGGAGAACACAGTACAAAATGAAGGGTCAGGCACGGTTGAGCTGTCCGGTGGAAACGCAGGGGTCATGGGCAGGGCGTGGAGAAAAGCCAGGCCGAGCTCAGGGAGCTGGGTCCCTGGCTGCAGGCTGGGGGGGGGGGGGGGGACAGCACTTTTCCAGAAGGGGCTAGGGAAAAGGAAACAGTTTTCAAAACATAGCATTATGGTGGCCTCCCTCACCAAACAATGAAACTGTCCAAATACGTCGGAAACTGTATTTAATGCCTATAAAAAATGAGTCCCCCAAGTGAGTCCCCTGGTGACTTCAGCGACAAGGAGAAGAGGGCAAAGGAGAAATCTGGCCATGCTTGTTTTTACCGGATTGTCTAAGGTGACCTGGCAGAATGGAGACATCAGAGTAAAAGAAGCCAGTTACTAATGAGGTACCCTGAGGCCTGGAAAGCTCTTGATCCCACTACTTAATTCTGTTTAGTGAGAAACCATTCAATTTCCTCCTATTAAAAGGGCCGATTTACTCTTGGTGGCAAAACTGCCAGAGTTGATAGAAAGTTGGCCCGTTTCACCCTGTTTTCTACCATTTCGGCTCCGTATTGAAATACTGTTAAACGCTCGGCTGCTGATAAGTACCAGGGGGTGTAGACGGCAGACTGGCCTAGATGGCTGGCTCCTGTTCACTGGGCTTTAAAGAGAAACATTTGGCACCCACTCCCTGCTTGGGACCCTCCATGCCCCCCCCTCCAGTTTCAGTCTTTCCCCCTGCAATTCTGCAAGTATTAAACATTTTACTGTGATGTGTATTGTATTGAAAAAAAAAAGTCTTTGTTTAAAAGTATTTGGTCTATGAGCCCATCTGGCTCTTCCTCCATTGGAGCTGGATACTCGCCGGTAGAACAGCACTTGCAGAACTCGTGTATGGGTACCTGATAGGGGAACTAGAGGGCCCCCCTGACCACTTCACCCCCAGACAGCCTGCTTCCCTTCAGTGAGCTAGTTTGGATTCTCCACCTGCCTAACAAACCCTGGTCCGGTCTCTAGCATGAAAGCCTGGGACTTGAAGTACTGAAGTAGTAAGAGTACCTCAACCCAACTTTATTTTTCTAAGTATTTTTTTGCAATCTATGAATGTTTTTAACATAAAGTCCTGTGACTTTATTAGGCGTATTTGCGTGTGGGCTTCTGTTCCTAAAGGCTGCATGCTTTTGAGCTTACATGTTTCTGCTTACCTTGTTCTCCCTCACTCAGCCTGCCTGACAAATCTAAGGAGACCACATAATCAAAAGCAGTGGCTTAGCCAGTGGCAAATGGTGGTCATTCTTTTGTAAATGCACTGCACACACACACACACACACACACACACACACACACACACACACCCATTCCTGGCAAATCTGTGGAAGGGAAAGAAATATTTGCCTTCCATTTAAAAATCACCTGCTCCATCTCTACTGTTTAAATAGAGAATATTTACATGTATTTCTGGAAGACCCCGAAGGAACCATGGAGAGCACAGCAGTACTTTTAAATTCCCCTTTCAGGGGCATCTGGGTGGCTCAGTTGGTTAAGCGGCTGGCTCTTGGTTTCTGCTCAGGTCACATCTCAGGGTCCTGGGATCAGCTGAGTCTGACTCCTCGCTCAGGAGGGAGTCTGCTTGAAAATTCTCTCCCTCTGCCCCTCCTCCCACTCACTAGCACTCTCTCTCTCTTTCTCTCCCTCTCTCTCTCTGTCTCAAATATTTTAACAAAAATTTTTAAATAAAATAAATTTTCCCTTTCACCTCCCACCAACCGTTCCTACTTTGCAACCCTCCCCTGGCTCTCTGGTACATGCACCTCCCTGGAAATGTCACCTTCATTCAGGGCAGACCTCTTGGAAGCAACACCTCTGAATTGGATTCGCCAAGTATTGAAAGTAGGTTTAAAATAAAATATACGGATAACACATCCTTCATCTGCCTGCACTTAAACCTTCATTATATCCCACAAGCAGAGTGTCTCATGCACCTGATTACCTGAGAGAATTGACGGTTTTCTCCCCGCAATGCCTCCTTCAAGGAAATAGAAGCTTAACGAGTAAGGTGCTTACTCTAGGTAAAACATATCATAATTTCAAAGTTTGCTCTAATCCCTTAAGTACATTGTACACACAGGTGGGGCCTCCCCTAGCATGTTGGCATCATGAGATTTAACTCTTTGCGCAAATCCATAGCCAGACTCCCCTCCCCTGGAAGGCCATTAGCACTCAAATTACAAAGGCTCTTGCAGTAAATTAACAGATGTGGATTTTTTTTTTTAACCATTAAAAGTAACTAATCCAGGAAATTAAACAAAAATCTCTCATCTCTGGAGAAAGTTCTTTGCCTCCTCTTCTTTGTCACTTTTCCAACTTTCCTTCAATATCTGCTAATCTCACACCCATCTGCTTCCAGCAACTCTCCGGAGCATGCCTCATGTTTTGGTATCTGGAATTCCTTGGCGATCTCTCTCTCTCAAGTTACCTCAGGTGCAAATTGTTAGCATCACCAGCTTTGTCACCGGTGGTCCCACTCGTCCTCCCCAGGAAGGCCAGAGCTGCCAGAACCAGAAACGAACGTTAAGAGATCTCTCCACAGCTGACTAAAATGTATTCCTTCCAACTACAGAGTAAGTCCTCTTTCCAGGGTGCTGTTCATACTACACATCTTAAAGCTGGCCTCTGAGGGACTGGTGAAGAGGAAGTCACTTAGCTTGGGTGCCCCGTGATGGAGAGTTGCAGGCACAAAGTTTATTGAGAATGCACTGAGGAATACACCCAAGAGGAAGTGAGGAAGGCAGAGTGAGGAAGCTGCCCCCCAATGCTTGCAATGCTGGTGTGACTGAGGCCTCACCCAGTACTTCTTTTTCCTTTTAAAGATTGTATTTATTTATTTATTTATTTATTTATTTATTTATTTATTTATTTTTTTATTTAGGAGAGAGAGAGAAAGAGAGAGAAAGCGTGCATGCTTGTGCATGTGTGAGACAGGGGAGGGGCAGGGGGGAGGGAGAAGGAGAGGATCCCGGGCAGTCTGCTCGCTGAGCTCAGAGCCACATGCGCAGCTAGATCTCATGACCCTGAGATCATGACTTGGGCCACACTGAGAGTTGCAGACTCAACTGACTGAGCCACCCAGACGCCCCTCACCCAATACTTTTTAAGAAGCTCCAAAGCCGATGTGTCCCAGATTGAGGAAAGAGGGTGGGCACTTGTTTCCCAGCATCAAGACACTTCCTGAAAGTGGAGTAATCTGGACAAGGCAGCTCCTTTCTGGCCACTGAGAGACGCAGCGTGAGTCTTTAGCATCAATATTCCCAGCTGCCATGGGGGTGCATCTCCCCGATACTGGGGCCTCAGTGGAGCACTCTGGAATTCACTGTGAGACATGGGATCCTTCCCTTGGTTGTTCTCAGGGCCAGAGTCACCACCATTCTTCGCAATGAGGAAATCCAAGTCGAAAGGGTCAGACAAGGCTTAGAAGCACCGAGGTCTCCACTGAGACGTCCAGACTCTGTTTCTCCCACAGCCATCACGCATGTGTCACCAGGGCTTGTTTTTCAAAGCCAAGAGTTATTTACTGCCCAAGAAAAGGGCCGGAATGATAGTCCCAGGATACGAAGAGCTCCTAGTTTAGTCATAGATTTGGCCTTCCTGCAAACTTTCCCAGACAGACTACCCCATCAAAAGTCTGAGAGGAAAAGCAGAAGAATTTTAGTTTCCATACCAGGTCTTCCTCTCACCTCTGCAAAGGCTTCAGATGCTGCCTTGACTTATTTCCTGAGCTCGGTCTGGGCCTGAGATGGGGTTTAAGAGAGATTTAGGATAGATCCCCCATGTGGCCTCTTCTAACTGGGCAGGCACCACCTGTTCCCAGCCAATCCAGGGACAAGCATAGCCCTTAAAGGGAGATAACAGGGTACAGCACGGAGGAGGGATGACACAGAGGAAAGTCCCGTTTTCTCCTTGGAATGACTGAAGATAATTCTAGAAGTTTTGGTGGTACATGGGGAGTAAATGCTGATTTTGCTCTCGTGAAGGTAGCAGTCCAGCAGCACTGAGTCTCAAATACCAACGCCCTCATGGTCTCAGTTACATCTGCTCCTTGGGCCCATGTTTGTCAGCATTGAATGATAGAACACCCTGAGAGT